TGCTTTATCAATAAACTCATTTAAACCTTTTCTCTGTTTCCCGTGGTGTTCTGCATATTGGGCCTCTCTGAACCAATCATGACAGAACACTGCGGCCAAACACAAGGCCCAGCAGACCATCTCCATCGCCGTTTGGAGGAGCAAGATGCTCAGATTTATGGGAACGCCCAAGCTCTACGTGAGTTAAACACCCACATCGAAATGCAAAATCAAGGGATTCAAAGCCTCGCTAACAGATTGAGCAATGCTAACGCCATGCCGCTAGCACAACCATTTCCGGGTCCAGCTCCTCCTCCGAGGTCACCAGCGGTGACGTCATCATCTGAGTTCCGACTTAGTCTTCCTGAAAAGTTTTCAGGTAACATAAGTGATTGCAAAGGATTTTTATTTCAATGTCGATTAATCTTCCAAAATTCTCCTGGCAGTTTTCCAACGGATTACAAGAAAATATCATTTATTTTGTCTCAATTGACTGGAAGAGCTCTGGAGTGAGCGCAGGCTAGGTTTTCCTCTGACGAAAGCCTTAGTTGTCAATACTCCGACTTTATTTCTGAGTTTTCACAAGTCTTCAACCAGGAAACAGATCAAACTGTAGACTCTCGAGCTCTTTTGAAACTAAGACAAGGAAATTCTTCTGTAGCTGAATTCTCTATTAACTTCCGACTGCATTTTTTGAGGCTCTCAACGAAAATATAAAAGATGAGTTTGCAACCCTCGACGAACCTGCTACTCTCGAGGAATTAATCCGCCTGACAATTAGGCTGGATAATAGGATTCGAGCCAGAAATAGCTCTAAATCAAGGAATCATGGTCCTTTCAACTCTTTGCCTGCCTCTAACAATGTGCCTGCCTTCTCCTCTTCCACAGAACTTTTTTCTAACCCAAGGTCTAAGATCCAATCTCTCCCTTTGCCAGTTCAGGCCTCTCATGCGGTTGAAGTGGAGGCCGAACCCATGCAGGTTGGACATACGAGGCTAACTCCTGAGGAAAGGTTGAGGCGTGTCAGGAGCAAGCTGTGCATCTACTGTGGTGAGAGTGGCCATTTCATTGCCTCATGCCCAGCTAAATCAAAAGCCGGGGCCCGTCAGAGGATCTGAGGAGTCTGACGGGCCATGTTCTTTCTGAGAAATCTCCTCGTCTATTACTTCCAGCCACATTGTTTTTTGCTGATCAAAACCTCACTTTATCTGCATTCATCGATTCAGGCTGTGAAAGGAACCTAATTGACTCAAACCTGGTTGAACAGCTACAGATTGAAACTGTTCCTCTACTCCAGCCTCTCTGTGTCTCCGCAATCGATGGAAAGAAGCTTCACCAAGTTACCCACCAAACACAACCCCTCGAGCTGTTGGTCTCAGGTAACCATCGTGAAACCTTATCATTGTTTGTTTTTCCTTCTGCATGTTCCTCATTGGTCTTGGGGTTTGAGTGGCTGGAACGACATAACCCCCATATAAACTGGACTGATCGTCATATTGAGTCTTGGTCGACCTCTTGCCATGAGACGTGTCTTCGTTCAGCAGCTCCCGCTGT